ACTTCTAGCAAATGGAGAGATGCAGACGTGTTAGTGTTTAATACTGGACATTGGTGGAACTATGGGAAAACTGTTAGAACGTAAGTTATTTCCCCGTAAACCCGAGTTCGAAGTCTCATTAGTCACTTGTCTGAATTTTGTTCTAATGACCAAATCTTGATTGTTGTTAATGACAGGGGATGCTACTTTCAAGAAGGGGAAGAAGTGAAACTGAAGATGAATGTAGAGGATGCATATAAGCGAGCTATGGAAACCGTTGTGAAATGGATACAAACCGAGGTCGATTCAAACAAAACTCAAGTCTTCTTTCGCACATTCGCCCCTGTTCATTTCAGGTTTGCATGGTTTCAACTCATCAAATCGGTTCAATCATAATTATCTGCATACTTAGTTGTCCGTGTGGTTGTATGAAACAGGGGAGGAGATTGGAAAACAGGAGGAACATGTCACATGGAGACACTGCCTGAGATTGGCACCTCATTGGTTTCATCAGAGAAATGGGAACAGTTAAAGATCCTTGGAGATGTATTGTCACATTACTCAAACAGATCAGAGACTGTTAAAATGAAAATGTTGAACATAACAGCAATGGCTGCTCAAAGAAAAGACGGTCACCCATCGATATACTATCTCGGTTCGCTTAGTCCTGCACCGCTTCATCGCCAAGACTGTAGCCACTGGTGCCTTCCCGGTGTTCCTGACACGTGGAACGAGCTCCTTTACGCGTTGTTTATGAAACAAGAAGCTTCAACTATAAGAGTCGAAGAAGTGAATAGTACAGGAAATGTTACAATGTCATGAGGAAAGAACAACAAGCTCTTGTTTTCTCTGCAGTTTGGCGTTTTCTTGAAGATGCTAAGCTCAAAGATTAAAAAAGGGTTTGGGATTTTTTGACTGAGTGATTAGATTTAATTGGGTGGGGGTTATGTAATTAGGTTGATAATCTTGATCTCTAGTTGTAAAGATTAAAAAATCTCAAATGAATGATATTCGAAGTTTCATATATCTAGATCGAGTTACCTCTTGCCAAAGACTAACATGAATATAGTTTTTGGTATTTGTTTGTAATTCATAATAAGTTTTGGGCGTATCGACCAAAACAACTAAAAAATTGGGCCGTTTTACTTTTATCGATTTATGGGAAAAAGCAGCAAATATTATAAAGATTAGGGCAATTTACACAATTATATAAAAATCAATTGATGTGATTGCAAAAAAAAAAGAAAGATGATAATGGATATTTTAGTGTTTGGGCCTAAAAGACCAAAAATTATTAATGTGTTAGGATCCCCACTAATAGAGTTGAAGATGTGATATGATTTTGCAGAAAGAACAGATAAGGATACTGTCTGGATCATGTTGATCTGTGTCCGGTATTCTTCTAAAGGTTCGATGTAACGAGTGTACACGTACGTATGCCTGTCTGGCCACTTCCATTTGTTGAAAAACAGGTAATTTCTAGTGACGTGCATATGTGTGTTTGCGAATTTCAACTTTTATTTAGGAAACCATCAAAAAGTTTTGATAGTAGTGATTTACAACGAGAATATTCCTTCTTATAGCGTATTTATTTTTTATAACTAAATATAAATATGTCAATATGTTTCCTTCCCTCTAGCTAGCTGCTAAAACTTACCGTTATAAACCAATACAACTTATTATTATATACCGTTACTATTATTCCAACGACATGCATTCCACTTCAACTGCACGATCTTCCACCGGCTCAACATCCTTTACTACCCTAGTCGATGACTACTTCAGAAGTGTGTTTGTTGTATGTCTTTATGAGTGATGCTGTCCATTAAATATGCAAAATATTAAAGTCTTTTTATGGATAAGTTTTATGTTTCTTTCCGTATAATTTTAATATTATAATAATAATCACAAAGAGGCCATTTTAGTGAATCGATGATTCATAAAAGACAAGTCGGTGAGGCTAAAAAAATCTCAAGTCGGTGATCGTGACATGACATGAGCCTTAGCTAGAAGCTCGTGCTCAGAGAATCTGTGATTGTAACTTCTCTCATTGATTCTCTTCTCAGATACTTTACTCTTATCTCATTCTTTCTTTGGTCATTCGAAGATCATTGAGTAAACTTTAGAGATAAACTTACCTCACCCTTGGATCTAAAATTCGGTTTAGTTCGGTTTAAGCCGGTTTGGGTTTGATTTTTCTGTACCTTATCCGGGGAAGGTTGCAAGTTGGAAGTGTAGGTGTAGGGTATAGAGTAGCTTATCTATACAAAAGCCCTTGTGGTCTTCTATTATTTGCCCTTTTTAATATTTATGTGGGCGTAAATGATGAAAACACATCCAAATTGGGATAAAGTTTCTCCTATTTGTATTGTATTATTCGTTATATATATGACGTACAATAAAAATTTAGTATATCACTTGTTTGTTGATGTTATATCAGTAAACATATTCTCACTTTTATAATTTAATCGTCATAGATTTTACATGCATGGCGAGTGTAAATTTAAGAGATTAGTCTAGATTCAAGATCCCAATCATAAAAATGAACTATTTAAAAATGTTTTTAATATATACTTTTTTTTGTCGTAAAAAAAAAAAGAAGTTCATTTTTAAATAGTTCATATACATGTAAATTATTTTTGTGTAATACAGAAATGGAGAACAAACTCATAAGATCTTGACTTGTAATCGTAGTTCAAAAATGACCCACTTGACCGTTGTGTGACCCCACTTCCATAAAATAGTATCTACAAGACTCCAACCAAATCAAATCATAGAGATAGATTCTTCTTTCTCCCCATCTCCAAAAAAAAATCCATAGTCCTAATGTCCATTTCCTCAAATTTCCACTTCAAATACGACTCACCGATGATGAATTTCCTAATTTTGTAACATAACCAACTTCATTGATTCGATTCACCAACTATTTAAATCATAACAATTAATATAACATACTCTAA